TCCCGAAAGTAAACACCTTACTTGCAGAAGCTCCACCCCCTTTTTCTCCGACAACATTGTCAGAGTTTTGCTTTACGGATGCTTTGTGGTCAGAGAGATTTGGAAAAATAATTAAATGTTGTTAGTGGGGGGATGTAATTCAAACTCATGTTATCCTGAGAGTTTAGAGGATGTAATACAGTTTATTACATTTCACAAACAAAACCAAGTTTGGAAAAATGTACAACAGTTATAAACAGGAAGTACCACATGTTCATCTGTACGAAGGTAACTTCAGGTAAATCCTCCATTTTCTGTCATAATTACATTGTATGTTTAATGGTTAAATTAAAGGTTAATGCTTAAAGCTAGTTGTGCTTTGTTTTATGTGTTTTATATGTAGATATATGTTGTAACTTCTGGTTGCATATATTTAGTCTTTGTTTGTTATGATCAGTTAACACTAAACAGATTTTGAACAAAGCGTTTACTAATTAATAAATTAACTTGTAATGTAAAGCGGAGCGCTCCATCTAGGATGCATGAGAGAAGCGGAGCGTGCTCTATTCACACAAGGAGAGCTGTTGGTCAGGCTACTTTTTTTGGTGTCATTAACTCTCAAATAGTTATTGAATCAACTGTTTGCTCATGAAGGTAAACATAGATGCTTAACAAGCTGTTAAAATACACCAGAATGCAAGAAATAGCATCTAGAGTACTTTATTCCAAATTTTCTGGGGGAGGAGCCCCAGACCCCCGCCCAGTGTGTCCCCCCCCCCCCCCCCACCACCACATTACAAATGCTTCTGACACTAGTGGCCACCATGTTGTTCAAGCCAAGAGCCAGTTTTAGCACTGGGGGCTATAAGCAGGTCAGATTCTAGAATTCCCATGTTTGAAACATTTATGAACTGTGGTTGAACAACAGCTTTACATTTCCATGACCCCCCCCCCCCCATCAAAAATGCTGCCGGCAAAACTGTTAGTGAGAGCATGTGTGTTTTTTGAGTTTTAAAATGTTCATTCAAACTTTTACAAGTTGTCACATTTGTTTCCAAAGCAATATTTCCCTGTACATTTTTTTATCCCCATTTACCCACGACTCGTGTAATATTTGAATTTGATGAAGTATTTTACAAAAACACACGGACTGCAGTCACAGTCATAATAGGATTTTGGGGCAGCTGTGAACAGCACATTTCAAGGTTTTTCACGTTTTATTTTTACTTCTATCTCAGTCACACACAGACAGTTAATATTGTTGGAGTGCACAGAATGCAGAGAAATCCATTGTCATCGACCTGCGTCGCTACTAGAATTAGCCTGGTCACTGAGCACAATGATTAGCAAGTTCTACTGATTGGTTCTGGTACCCAACTGGGTCAGGTCCGACACCAGATATGAGTTTAGTCTAGGTAAATGGAACAGAGCACTCCCACATCATATTTTAGATTAATATCTATAAAATCAACCCAGTTTTAACCATCGTTGTGTTCGTTAAGATCATTTAAGTTCGAGAGGATTACGGCAGTGATGGTCAGGGCCTCGGTTTCCAAATCCCGAGGCTTTGGGTTCGACCTCTGGTTGTGTCAGGAAGGACATCCGTCATGAAACAATTGTCAAATCTTCCATGCGAGTTAGCTTTGGAGGCTATTTTGAATTAGGTTGACTCCAAAAGTGGATCAGTTAGATCAGGGGTCTGCAACCTGCGGCTCTGGGGCCACATGTGGCTCTTTGGTCCCTCTGCAGCGGCTCTTTCAGGCTTTGACCAAAACTGAAATTAAACTGAATTGTATTTAAATAATTACCAACAATGAAAATGAGTAGTTTTAGCAGATTTCCTGTCAGTTTCAACCATCTGAAGGTTAGTACAAATACAAGGCGGACTACATCATGCTAGTAGTTTGTTAGCCACGTTGTCAACTTCCAGGCTCACAGCGTGATCTTTCTCTCAAAATGTTTTCCAATAGCTTTAAGACAAGTGGCTGAGAAAGAATAATAGAATACGTACCCAGAAGTATGACAAGAAAAAGCAGACAATGATCATAAAAAGAGATTGAATGGAGCAGGTTAGGCTTCTGTTTGGTGCCTTTGTGTATTTGTTTGGGTCTCTGTGAGCCAAGAGTCCAGTTTTTGCAGCACACTCATGAGTTAGTCGGTCACACAAACTGTCTGCTCTCTTAAATAATTTTCTATTGGTCACACTAAATCAAAGTCCCGCTAAGAAAGAGGACTTTTATCAGCGTGTATAAATATGTTGGCTGCAGAATGGAAAAAAAAAAAGAGCTGCCACTGAGAAAAAGTTCACAGGGAAGACGGAGGAGAGAGGCTTTGAAAAAAGAAAGGAAGCTAGTTATGAGCATTTCTGACATTCCTCAGCTCCACACAGCAGCAGGGTTTTCTTTAAAGGAGTCAGTCCATCCAGACCACTGCAACCAGACCAGCACCCTGCAGGAAGTCCCGCTCTCTCCTTGTCTGCTGCTGGACCAGCTCAGCGCTGAGGACCAGAGGAAAAACACATTAAAGCAAGAATCCAGTATACTGGTGAATATTGTTTAACCTGACACCAGTAAACAAGGACAGGAGTCTGAGCATGAAAGAGCAAGAAACTTTACTAGTTGGAAAGTATTCCCCTGACTTCCTCTTTACTGGATGCTGGTATTTCCTGTTCAGAAAGGCTGCTGGATATTTATGGACAGGCCCAAGAGAATTGCTTTCTCTCTACGATACTCGGTTTCTGTAAATAGACACGCTGACATGAAAAACAGATGCTTCTGCTTTAGTTTAGGATCCAAGCTTTAAAATATATCAGAAAAAAATAAAACAGCTGCATTTTACCATTAGCTTTAAGCAAAATGAGACAAGGTTTGAGTTTACTAATTGACTTTTTTAATTTTTAAAGTCTTGTCTTACTTTGACTTGTTCTTATTTACGAGACAACCGTTTTACACAATTTGAGGTTGTTTGGTTCTTTTTTTATTTAACTTTCATTATGTGTTTTATGTTTATTGCTTGTTTAAATTTTACTGATCCATGTTGTTTCAGTGCTTTGCACCATTTCAGATCCATGGAAGCACAATCCTTCTCAATGTTTGATGCTTCATTAAATACAGTAGTCCTTCGTTTATCACGGGGGATCCGTACCCTGAAGACCCACGATAAGTGAAAAACCGCGATGTACAAGTAGTAAGTAGTACAGTAGTTTATTTTAGTAGTTTCTTTAAAGGAGTCAGTCCATCCAGACCTCTGCAACCAGACCAGCACGCTCTCTCCTTGTTTGCTATATATATGTACATGTAAGGCGTTTTAAACCCTTCTCCTACACTTGCAATATTCCAAACAATGTTTCTAAACTCTAAATTCTCTAAAAGAGCACAGCATGTCATGATTTCATCTCTCTGCCTCCTCTGCTCTCACCTGCAAGCGCTCTTGGCCACGCCCACTTCTTCGCTCTGCACAGAGAACAGCTGATCAGCTGCAGGATGAAGTTTATTTTGCAGTGTGGGGTGCACAAAGGTGCAGGAGGTGCCAAATAATTTTAAATAATTCATTTTAAGTAAAAAGCCCATGCCGATCGTGCGGCTCGTCCATCAATCAGCCAGTTGTGTCATGTCCACTCTTATTTTGAAAAACCGTGATAGAGGGAGTCTGCGATGAACCGCGAAGTAGCGAGGGACTACTGTACATGTGTTGGTGGGTTATTCTACACATACGCCGCTCGTTTGTTCTTTTTCTGCCTGGTTCTGTTGGATGTTTCTTCCTGTTCAAAGGGGTTTTTCCTTTCCACTGTTGCCACTGTGCTTGCTCAGGATGGGAGACTGGGATGAAGTGAAGACTCAACAAGTCTGCAGGATTCTTTAGAGAACTTTACTACCGCTGGCCTTTTTTTCATGTATGTGAATGTTTCTGTTCAGTGTCCTGAGACAACTTTGTTTTGAATTGGAGCTATATAAATAAACTGAACTGAATTTTATTGCCCTCCACCAAAAACAAAATGTTTTGCTTGTGGGGTTTTTTGTGGGGTTGGGAAAAACTATAATTTTAGTGATCCAACAAAGTTAAAGTCTGGTTCCTTTTCTTGAAATGTTTCGTCCTTCATCTGAAAGACTTCAATCCGAGGATCCACAACAAACTCAGTGTGACTTAACTTTGTTGGATGTTTTTCCTGGATTACCGAGCATGAACTTTGATGTTTTGAACCACTTTGGCCATGGCTGCCTCAGATGAGTCAGCGGGAGAGAGGGCGGACTCCAGAGACCATCTGAGCACCATCAAACTGGTCAACCCACTATGTGAAGGTCCTTTTAAGACTTGAGTTTGTTGCAGCTCCTTGGACTGATGAAGTCCTTTGGATGAAAAACTAAATGTTTCAGCACAAAGTAATCTTCCAGAGGACCGGACTTGACTGTTAGATTTATTTACTTGGATTATTGAGCATGAACTTTGAACTTTCTTAGAGTTTTTCTGTCTATAGAAAAAAATAAAAATAAAATAAATAATCACAGAGACGGCAGTTTGATAGAAAAGCACGTGTATTTTTCTTTGTTACATTTTGCAATGCATTCCATAAACATTTATTTTAACACGATGTCCACAAGGACGAGTGCAAACCTTCCTGAAATTCAAGAGCAGAATCCAACAGGAGTAAAAGTTAACGTACAAAAAGACAGAATGTGTTGATCTGAACATCAATACACTGGTTAAAAAAAAGTCAGATTCTTCTCGGTACTAACTCACAATATACATTTCAGTACTTCTCTTTAGTTTCTCCACTTCTGAGAATCTGAAGGCAAGCATCGTGGATTTATCACGACACTCTGTTGTCTCCACAACAAACCAAGCAACAAAACCGAACTGCTGCTTCTACCACCCCATGGTTTCCTGATATGGATGTTGCAACTGAACAGGATGAAATTTAGAGGCAACCTTGTAATTAAGTTTAAAGAAAAAAATTTGTGCAACTTGTGCAATAACCAACAACAAAACCAACAAATCAAAAGTTAAGATTATAACATTACCGCAGATTAGGGGGAAAACTAGATATACGTGGTGTTTGGGTGATGGAGGACAGTTCTGTACAGTACTACGCTTCATGAACCTTTAGTTTCAAACTTATCCAGACAACCAATAACTAAATCCAAAGTGCTCAAGATTGTCCGTAAAAAATAAAGAATGCTACTACACCAACCTTATACGAAGGCATTTGTGACTTTAAACATTATGTAGCAGAGATGATACAACTCATAAATAAACATATAAAACAGTGAGACGTCTCGTATCTGGCTTCAGCATACGCGCTGCACTCTGTCGTCATTCCTTTCTTAAAAATGGAGCCATCTTTGAAAGTATGTACAGGTTATTTAATAAATGGAGTTATTTTTCTCTAAGTATTCCCATTTCTACTTTGAAACCCAGCTCAATAGGCTAACGGGGTGAAAAGACATCAGTGCAGAAGGGAACTAAACAGAGTTAAGCTGAACCCTATTCACTTCTGTTGCAGTGCAGTCGTGCAGCAAAGTCTTTATGCATCATATCCCACTTTTTTATTTTTACTTCAATCTTCATACTTCACCCGTGCAAATGCTCAAATGAGCACAGAGTAGCAAACGTTCAAATCCATGGAGGTATCAAACCACAAGTAGCTCAGCTCAAAGACGTCACAGCAGTAAAGGCAGCCTGGCAGAAAGCAGCCACAGAGCACGGTCCTGGTTCCGGAGGAAACCAGAACCTGCGGGCTTCACTGGCTCCCAGCATCTGCTCCGTTGAGTTTGAATTCATCGAGTCTCTACTACTACAGTGTGGGTCAGCAGATCATCCCCTGCGGTATTTCAGGCCGTGTGAGGAACGGGGTCTCGCCGAAAGCGAAGGCGTCGCGACCCGCCTTCAGCTCGCCTTTCCTCGGACATATGAGGTAAGGTCCGACGACTAGGCCCGGCTCGGGGGACGAAGCGGGGCTCTCGGGCTCCGACTCGGACTGGCTCATCTCGTGCTCGTCCAACGAGGACCTCATGTGGAGGTGTGGGTGGGAGTGGGGATGCGGGTTCAGCCAGGAGTGATTGAGGCATTCTTCTGCAGTGGCTCTCTTCCTGCACATACAAACACAATAACACAGCGGATGAGTGGAAATTCCCCAAGAGTTTACACAACCATCGGATTGCTTGGATCTTTACAGTTCGATCAGTTCTCCTAGAGGTCTGCCATATTTCTTTTCCACCCTTGGCTTCGTGAAACCACAAAAACAGCACGTTTAAGTTGAAGATATTCGCTCCTGCTCTTCTCACTGATTACCAGGAACCCTGGGAAATTTTGCCGTCTTCCAAAGCTACCACTAATTTGTTGCGATTAAATGATACTGGCTGGAGACTGTGGCTACTTTTCAGACGCACTGTGGTTACAAAATGGGGCTTCAATTCTGCAGCAGGTTATTAAAATTAGAGCCAGAGTGAAATTAGCCACGATTATTATCCTTTTTTCCACTCCAAACACAGTCACACATGCAAGGGTGTTTGATCTAATGTCCAAATACATTCTTTAACGGGATAGTGATCTTTGAAGTCATGTTCTGACAAATAGCCATCAATAGTTAGCACATTATGAGCAGTGACAGTGTAGGGATTATAGAGAAAGAGGCAAATGTCTTTGCAAAGGCTCGGCTAGTGGCTGGCCATGCAAGAGCTGAATCATGGCTGATAACTATTAGAACATCACTTCGGATATGATTGAACTTTTTAAGTAAGGCCAGCTTACAGTTGCCAGTTGATAAAGAGGAAGCGATTTCTTGCTAAAATGACGTAAATCTTATTGCCACACACTCATTTATGCGGATGTACTTCCGGCTGCTGTGAATGTGACCCACATCCTTGGTGTGTGAATCACCTTTTGGTGCTGCCGATGCTAGCATTGCTGGTGTGTGCGCTAAAATAAAATATCAGATCATCACAGTCTTTCCAGTAAAGATCCTCACCTGGGGTTTTTCACCAACAGTGACTTGATAAAGTCAACAGCCAGGGAAGAGATCCCTTCAAACGTGTCCTGCAAATAGTCTACGTTGACCTGGGAGATGTTGAGGAACGTCTCCTGCTTGTTGTCACCTAGAAAGGGCGACTCGCCCGTCAGCATGACGTAGATCAGTACTCCAATGCTCCTAACAGAATGAGACGAAGAAGAATGTTATGGGCAACGAGATCTTTGAAAACCGTTTTGAGACACTGTAACAACATCCACTAAGCTGTTGTCAGTCAATAATAGGAAGGTATGAAGCAACGATTATCTTGTGGTCAAAGGTCTAGACATGAAATATTTCTACATGTTTGGGAACTGTTGTCTCTCTTCTGTTCCCAGAGGTAACGATCCTGCTGAACAAGTTTGCATGAAGACAGGACAAAAGTAGCACACCTACCACATGTCTGTAGCAGTGCTAATGGGCTCGTAGCTCAGGATTTCTGGTGCTGCAAAAGAGACATGGACCCAGTCAGACATGAAACAGAACGCTCGATTTGAAAAGAAACAGGGTTCGGGGATTTTAAAAGCCAAAAGGCAGAACTTACCCACGTATTCTGGGGTACCCAGGATCTCCCTGACTTCTGTGATGCTGTCCATGCGTCTGGACAAGCCAAAGTCAACGATCCGAATGTCGCCCAGAGGCCTGGCACTGGTCAGTAAGATGTTCTGAGGCTGGAGAAGAAGTCCAAATGTATTAGTTGCAGGCAGATTACTCAATGTGTATAAATAATTCAAGCTAAGCAACGTCTTAAATCGATAACTACACATTGAATATATCTAGTTCTGAGGGGATTATTGGCTTCATTGGTCAATTTAAAAGGTAGACGCTCTGAGCAAATTATGGGAAGGTCTCCATCGTGCTCCTAAACTGCTTGGATGGCCCGATTAATGCCAGAAAAAATTGAAGCGTACCTAAAAAAGTTTATTTCTGGACAAGATTACCTAATCCCGTTTGAGACAAACAAGAGAAAATCCAATCTATGAATCTAAAAAAAAATAAAATGAAATATTATCTTTCAAACCACAAGAACACCAACATCTGATTGACATCTTCATCTTAAAGCCACCTAAAGAGCATACCACATGATATTAACACAGAATTTGGGGCTTTAGAATGGATTATTTAATCTATTATGTTGCTCAAGATGTGTAAAGAGAAACCAGACACTTTGTTTATTCTGGAGATTCTAAGAAACCTCGCTAAAAAAACATGATATCTCCGTCAGGTCTGTATACAAACTGACTCCTCGTGGGAACAGGGTCGGGACACACTAAACGGGCTCTGGTTGCATAACATCTCCAAGTCTAGCCCTCGAGGGAATGAATTGTCCTCCATTGTCATACAAACCGTGTCCTTACTTTTAGATCCAGATGAACCACATTGTTTCGGTGCAGGAAGGCCACTCCGTTCAGGATCTGCTTGGCTAGTCGTATTACATCTTTCTCTGTGAAAGCCTCGTCGTTATCGGCCACACACTGGTCGAAGATCTCGCCGCCGGCAGCGCTGCAAAGTAAACACAGGAAGGAATAAAAAAAACAGCAAAGAAGCCATCTAGAGGAGTTTACTTTTCATTTTTATGATGAAATTCTCATAAATTGCACCTCAAAATTAATAAACGTTCAGTTTGTTCGGTCTGAATCACGATTTGACAACAACAAATACTACTTATACAGTTTTTACTTCTCAACCCCCAAAAAACTTCCACTTTCTTTAAAATTATGTAACAGGTTGTTTCCTCGGTAGTCTACTTTGTCCCGAAAGGAACAAAGTCCGTCCACATCTACACATGCACGCAAGTCAAACATAAATCAATATAATTTTAGGCACCCCGCCTGTGAAAGAACCTTTCTTTTCAAAGAAGTATTACAGAGATAAGAACGGCTGCTTGAGCAAAATAAATCAGATAAGGTCTATTTCAACCTGATGAGACAATTGGACTCTCCAATACAGGAGGGAAATGAAATGTACTCCAGTCAAAGCTTTTCTAAAGGAAACAGGAAATTAGAGGGGAGGGTCAGTGTTAAGTTGGGAACAAAACACCTCGTGAGTCTGTTAATTCATACTCGTTTGATCAGAAGGGATTAACCAGTTTGTTGAATTCTGCTCAAGTCAATGTTGAATTCTGATTTTAAAATGGAAAGCAGCCAGATTCCTGACTGATCCTGCTGCTCTTGTGTAACACAGTTAAGTAAAGTGGAGACAAGGGGGATTTATGTTTGATGCCCCCCCATATCCGTCAGATCAGTGCCTGAAGCCGACAGTTCATCCCATAAAAAAAAAAAACCTACAACCATGTGTGGAGGATTTAGAAAGCATACAATCTTTTTTTTTTTAAACCCTCAGATGACGACTTTGTGACCAGGCCGTGGGCATGACCGTTACATAACCAGCACCTTCCAGTTTCACGTCTCCTTTTTTAAACCAACCTCAGCCGTAGAAATAACTTGTTTGTTGCCAGATATATTCCTAAACAGAGCTTCTTATTTGTTCTTGCTCTTCAAGAGTTTCAAGCATTAGATATCATAGTACCGTATTTTCCACCGTACACGTCGCACCGCCTTATAAGTCGCACCGATCCAAATATGTCTAATAAAGCGGTAAAAACATAAATAAGTCGCTTCGCCGTATACGTCGCATCTATTATGCGTCACCGCTGACCACCAGGAAATGTGGGCCGGTGTTGTGCCAAAAACCGATTGGCTGTCAAATGGCGGCCGCAGGAGCGTGCACGGGGAGGACTTTATTCTTGTTAAATTCTTGTTAAACACTTAAAAATAATTATTTGTTTGCTCAGAATTATAGGAAAGACGTGTCACAATCTAACTTTTGCTTAATAAATGCACTTTGGCGGTCAAATCAGCTGAATTTTGCCGGGGCGGTGCAGCGAAATGAAGCCAATTTGACGTTTGCTCCAAGCAGATGACGTTAGCAGGCTATGGCAAGCCGATTGTGTCATTAATAGCCACTTTTACCCATTACATGACACAATGGCGTGCCTTACTACTCAAGTGCCATCTAGTGGCTGAAAATTGTAGTGTTTTAGGTTTTAAATGTCAGAATTAATGAAAACGATCATATCTCAGCCAAAAATTGGTTTATAAATACGGGATAAAAAACATAAATAAGTCGCTTCAGTGTACAAGTCGCAGGGCATGCAAAGTATGCAAGAATAACTGCGACTTATAGGCTGGAAAATACAGTAATGCAAATCTACAGCAAACAGACAATATGCACTTTTTCAAGCCGTTAAATTTTCACAAGGAAATTAAAAACATGCATGCAGTCCTGCAAGGTCGTTTAAATTTGACTTTAATGTCAAAGTCTCACTAATTCACAGTCGTCAAAACTAATTTGTCAACATTAACGTCACCTGCAAGCGTTTACTGCGCCTGTCAGAGGCCTAGAAGGACTAAGTGTTTCAGTCCCATCATTAAGCTGTCAGCAGTGAACACTTCAGGAATTTACAAACTTGATGAAGTCAATTTAGTTTAAAGTCATCCGAGAGAACATCGACATTAATTACGTCTCTGAAGTTTAAACATCGCCGCCGTGCTCTCCACCTTTCCCAAAAATAAATTTCAGAACGGCTGCACCGATCCACAAGAATAAACTAAAGAGAAACAGTAAAGAAACTTCTCTTTACGTAAACAACGGTGTATCTGCAGGAAATGCTATTTATTCAAAGCCCTTGTTGGCTGACCACCAAACAGGGTGCTCATTTACGTCAACCGCGGCACCCTGCCAAGCAGCGAGTGTCACCAAGGATAACCTTACAGTTGGATGGATTTACCAGACAATGCTTTGCTCAACTGGACCCTAATGAGGTCAGGGTTTTGTCAGGCACGCTAAACAGGAATTAAAGGAAGACTGAAAGAAAACACGGCCATGCTTTGCAAGAAAAAAAACGCACTCAGGCTGTTACAATAAGTAAAAAAATACTTGTTGCTTTAGCTGAAGCTGCTGTGCATTTAACCACATAACTATCTTTGTGAACTTTTCTTCATGGTAAACTTCACTATGACTGTTAGAGCACGGAAAAGCACCCATCAGGACTCAGAGGTGAATCATTTCTCATCTGTGATCTCCTCTGGAACCAGTCATTACGCTGGAGCTTTCTGTGGCACCGACGCACACTGGAGCTGCACTTTTGAGACGATCACAATTCAGCTTCTGTCGTTCCTCTGACACTGATGAGGATGTGGTTGTGGCTATGAAGTGTATACGCTCGCTCATGACACATTATACCAGCGCAGTGCTGTGCTAGTTTTGGGAGCCTCGCTCGCCGCTTGCATTCAAACCCACAGGAAATGGAAAATAGTTTGCAATTCTTAAAACTCGGGGCTGAGGTCAGACGGTTTTAGAGGCGCCGCTTTACGAGTTTCATCATGAGTGTTTCTACAGCTTTTGGGACGTGCAATAATTCTTGACCAAACTCATTTCTCATGTCCAGGAAGGGGACCCACATTGACCGACCTCGTTATTTTTTTCTGCAGGGTTGAGCTGTGGTGCCATTTCCTCTTTCACACTTTACTTACAGGGTCAAACGCAGGCATCCCCTTTTGTTCTGCAGAAACAGTCGATGTCAGGAAGATTAGCAAGAGCTAGGTTGAAGGAGACTGTTTAGTGATATGATTCAAGCATAACTGCACTGTTATATTATATTTATCAAGGCAAGTAGGGGTAAAGTGGTCTTTCCAAATCTTAATTAACCCACGTCATCTTGCTAGTCAGAGAGCATTTACTTGTTGCATCATGTTAATACTCCACGGGCCATAGCCAGACAGCTCAGCTTCTTCACCTGTGCAGTCCAAGTCAGCAGCACACTCCCTTCAGCTCTGATCAGTACGCATCATCTCAGTGACTAATTTGTAGCCCGATATGAACATTTTAGGGAAGTTTGCAGTTTTGGTCTCGGCGGCGTTTGAAGTCACAGTTCCTGTCAGAAAGCCTAACGAGAAATTGAGGTGATGAAGCAACACTGAGCAGAAACCACCACAGAGAGAATTTCCATTTAAGGCCGAGTTTATGAAACAATCAGTAGTAATGTAAGACAGGTATAGCCCTGTTTGTTTGTTTGTTTATTTATATATATATATAAAAAGTCTGACTAAAGCAGCGTTTATGTTCCCTCTGGGATGTTTTGGAGAAGTTTCTCACGACTCACCACTCCAGAACGAGGATGATTTCGGAGCTGGTTTCGTAGACCTCATGCAGTCCCACCACATAGGGGTTGGCCTTGGCTGACTCCAGCACAGCGATCTCGTTCAAGATGTCCATGCGGCAGTCCGCTCCCTTTCGTCTCTTTCTCAGGAACTTGGCAGCAAACTGCTTCCCTGTTGCCTTCTCAAGGCACTTCTTCACCACTGCAAACTTTCCCCTGGGAAACGAAACAAGAAAAAATAATAATAAATTGAGCGTGTGATCAGAGAGGAGGCTGAAATTACAACCAAATCTTTGGCTTTTCAGAAATATGGGACAGATTTTGCTGCTCGACCTACTAAATGTAACCTAAATCATTGAAGTATTGGAAAATGATCTGAACCAACGTTCTGTTTGCAAATCAATACAAAACGCCTGCCAACCTCTGAAGGGTCAGTTATGGAATACGACAGAGATAAGAGGATTGAATGGCATCATTTATGAACACCCATTTAACTGACAGTTTCCCCACTCCCTCCTATGTGTTTAACCTCCAGGAGGGGCTGGAAGGAGGCAGATAAGCCTGTCACTGGTTGTAAAAGCTACTAAACTTGAGCATGGACCTGATAAGAGTTTTATCACTTTATAGGTCAAGAAAAAACAAAAAGATACAACGACTTGGCTGTTGGGATTTCTTGGTAAAAACTAGATTGGAAAAAAGAGCATTTCCTTTCACTAGCCCATCATTTCCATTCCTTTTTATGGATCAACAAGGATGAATTCATTGGAGGTGTTAAAGGTCAGCCGTGGGTGCGGACAGGATGTCCGATGTGTGCAAAATTGCCACCGAGTGTCACACAAACATAATCGCCAGCTGCTCCTCCCACACTGATAATAAGACCTGGTCCACTTCCCTTTCTCCACAGCTGACAGCAGCAGGGACAAATGGAGTTGTGTTGACGCCTCCGCCCAGACTGTTAGCCAGAGACCGATTGTCCTTTGACAGTCGTACAAAAGCTGACCAGTCAGCTAAACACGGCAGCCTCCAAACCAAGACCACCCACCTAACTGTGGCTAGTTGCACCAGGCAGGGGGTCTGCCGCTTCACTTATGCTGGAACATGAGCAGCTTGGAAAATTGGACACTAAAAAGGTTTTGTAGTTTGCACATGAAGAAGAACTGGGTAGAAAGAATCTAAAGGAAATCTGAATTCAATTCAGTTTATTTATATATCGCCAAATCACAAGAGAAGGCACTGAGCAGAAACCATTCATATATAAATAATGATTGGATTCATTGGGTTTCATGGACAAATAGAACTGTGTTTCATCAGCATAATGAAAATTTACCCACACTCTTTAATTACTTTACCTAATGGAAGTATATATATATATATAAAAAGGCCAAGAGTTTTGGTCCAAGCACTGAACCCTGAGGAACTCCATGACTAACTTTGGTGTATGATGAACATTTATTATTTACATTTACAAACTGGAATCTTTCTGATAAATGTGATTTTATTAAACTAATTTAGAGCTGTTCCTGTAATCCCCACATCATAAAAGGTCCAGTCAGTGTGGTGCAAGTTGAATCCCAGATTGTACCTGCAAAGAAGTGACTGTGACCAAACACAGCAACTGTTCTGGCTCGAGTTCGATTCCGTTTTGGCTCCGATTGCTCCCGCAAGGCCCAGATTCTCCCCTGCAATTTCACTTATTTTTTTGCAAAATGGTGACACTCATTGTTTGGCGTGAAAAGGGCAAAAGCCGTCACAGCCTTTTCATACTTAATTAGCCAAGTTCAGATTTGTGGGCTGGGAGCTACATATGGTGTGAAAAGACATGACTGGGGACGACATAAAGGAGCAACAGGAGGCTCTTTCAAAGGGTTTGCTACAGGTCGGAGGTCACTAAACAAGACTATCTTCCAGCTGGCCATGTTCACACTCCACACGTTTCAGATGCACGGAGCTGTGGGGAATATTTTAAACAGAAACCTTTAGTTTACTCTGATACAGAGGCTCGCTCTCGCATGAACCCCTCAAGAATGTTACCTATTTTCAGATTAAAATGCACTTTATGTCCACTATTGATCAACTCTACTATGAAATGAGGCCAAATCATTTCCTGCTCTTGAAACGACGATAATTTCATTGAGAAATGCATTTCCTGTGGAGTTTTTGTCTCCCTCAGCAGGGCACCGACTCACGTCTGGTGTGCAATGAGATGTGACGGCTCTCGCTGCTCTTATTTGCCAGTTTGACAGATGGACTGAGCACCGCAGCGCAAGTTCCTCTTCCTGCTTTCGAGTTGGCCACAGAATTTCCTGTACATTCTTCTGACAGGGGGCTCGGCTCAGAATACAAAGCATGACACTGAAGACAAGGCTTTACAAATAAAACCAGTACGTCTCATGAGTGGAGATGGTTACCAGGAAGTAACTGCAGGAAGAATCAAACTGGCACCAACAGGCTAGATGTGCACACTTTACACCTGACTTCCTGCCGTGCAGCGCTGCATACATTCCTCCACCTAATGTGATTAGTGAGGCCTGATCTCAGGATGTTGTTGGGGGGGGATCATGGGAAAAGGAAGAATTACTGCAGTTTTAATTATTATTGAAGCCTATAAAGTGACAGGTGACCCCGTCAAGATTTTCACAAAGTTAAAAGGACTCAGACAAGTTAAGTTAAAGTGGGATCGTTAGGACAGATGCAGAATTAGCCGAGACAAACAAACAGCAATTAAAGGCCTCATTTATCTCAATTTGAAGGGTTTCTGTGAAAAAGTTTGACATCACCTTAAATTACATTAAAGTTAGAGATAGTTCAGGGCAAAAGACACAATGGTGGCTGATTGTAGATGACAAAGGCCATTTGATCAGATCTCCAAAGAAATGTGGTGTAAAAAATGCTCAGAGCAGAGAGTCTCATTGAAATCGTCCTGTCTGCAGGCTGCAGCATGCCACAACAGTAGAACTACTTACCAACCTAAATTTGTACATTTATTTACTCATGACATCAGCTGGTTTACTTCCATTACTACAAAAACGTGGGCTTCAACAGAAACGGCACGAGCTGCTTCACATGAAAGTGATGTTTTCAGTGTTTCCAGTTTATCCACACAGTCAGGTGAGATTAGATTTTTGAACCATTTAAAAGTTTAATCATTTACGTAATCTGTGGCAAACATGTTTTTAAATCAAATCTCTACAACGAAAACAAAACTGATTGGGAAGATTTAAACCAAAAAACCCACAAAAGCGCATTACGGTTGCGCACTGCGCGTGCCAAGCGCCGCCGCTCCGCGGAGAGGAATGCAGGATTGGAAATGTTCAATTAACAGGCTTCCCAGACACGTGCAGAGAGTAAATCTAATATGATTACACGAATGGCTCAGGATTAGAAAAACATTCTTCTGGAAGAGAGAAAAAGAAAACCAACCTGCCCAGTTCTTTCCCCACCAGCTCGTAACTGGTCGCGAAGGGATCTTTCCTTATCCTTGTGTGGATTTCTGTCACAATTCCGTTCTTGTTCATTGTTTCTCAGTTTGGCATCAAAGTCCTGCCTTGAAAACTAAACAGCTGTTTTTCCTCAAAGATGTAAAAGAGACGAGAGAGACGAGTTTCTGGTCCGCTCAAGAAAAAACGCGCATCTTTGGAAAAACAAGTCGGCTCGAGCCAACTGGAACTGGAACCACTGGGAGGTAATCCAGGTGAGACGATGCTTCCCAGTCGGCGCAGTGACTTGTGTTTGACTGCAGCCAAACATTCAGGGCAATGAATAAACTCCCCAGCAGGACCAGCCCCCTCCTGCGCCTGACGCGCAGCGCAGGAAACCAATGAGTTCTCACAGGACGCAGCGCGCGCGAGCCAGCTGGCAAGTGGTGACAAACGAGAGGAGCTTACTGGTGCAGGTACACAAACACAGGCTTTTAATCATTAGTTGTGCTTTAGTATTTATTAGACTTATACTGCAACAAACCTGAAAACATTCAAGCAGATGCGAGTAAATTATTTAAAGACAAAAGTCACTAAAAACTGACAAGCTCATTAAAAAAAAATACTGAAAATGAACTAATGGGAATCAATCATTGCTGATGAACTTCATTTTAGCAGAATTGTTTTAAAATAATCAACTGGTTTTGAGAAAAAGGATGATGACGGTGAGGTCATGTTAAAGTAAGGTGTGTCCTGTAATGGTCATCACAGGTGTCTTCACTGCTGTAATCAGTGAGTCTGCCTGTAAAGTGTGGCTGCGAACACTCAGCTGCTTGGGATCATGAACACGCTGATCACAGAGTTCATAGAATGAAATCAGCATAAAAAGCAGATTATTGATGTTCAGTTTAAGCTCCCTGCACGTGGCTGCAAGAGATAAACTGATGACAACATGAAAAGATCAAACAAATGGTAACCGAAGAGCCAGAACAACTTCCACTGATGTTATCGGTGAACTCCAAGTTCAGTTCTTCAGTGTCTGATCGGTCACCGTTGAGTCAAAGTGGACTCGTGTCTGAGACGAGGACATCTGTGTTGAAAGACAATCATAAAGACTCAAGAACAGATGTGTCAAAATGCATGACAAGCCACAACCTTGTGAAGAATGTCCTTTGTATCGTATTGTTTTTGTGCCACTAGTGAGCGCATAATTCTAGTTAACGTTGTTCTTATTTCACATCTTAGATCTTATTACTGTTCTTCTTTTACATCTTATACTTTTGTTGGATGTAACTGGGACCCTGTGCACAGTTTCATGTGTGGTGCGTACGATAGATTACTTTGAATCCTTTGGACAGATGAGACTAAACAGGAGCTTTATGACGACAAGACCCATCAGACCCAAAAAAGAACTGTACGAAGATAAAAACAGGCAGTTCAGTTCATTTATAAAGCGCCAAGTCACAACAGAAGCCATCTCCTTGCACTGCACAGAAACATTCAAAGACGTTAAAAGTAAGTTAACAACATTATTTATGTGAGGAGCAGCTTCGCGTTTAACTCCATCACAGAACTCTCATCTTGAACAAGCATGAAGGCGACAGTGGAAAGAAAAACTCCCTCATGAGGAAGAAACCTTTAGCAGAACCAGGATCAGGACAAGAGGACCATCTGCTTCGACCGGCTGGTTTTGGTAGGAACAGATACACAATGGCAGGTCAAGAATCACATTAAGATAGAAATAGTATCAGATGAAAACTATTCAGTTTTAACAATTCATTTAAGGAAACGAGGTCCAGTTGTCCTCCACTAAACCTATAGCAGCATAACAATCCAACCCTAACTATAGGATTTATTAAAAAGGAAAGTCTTCAAACTGGACAATGTGTCAGCCTCACAGACAGAAACTGGAAGTTGGTTCCACAAGAGAGGAGCCTGAGAACTGGAAGATCTTCCTCCCATTCTGCTTTAGCAAACTCTATCCCACAAGTCTTCAGTCTGAGAGCGAAGTGCTCTGTTAGGAAAATATGGGACAATAAGATCTCTAATATAAGATGGAGCTAGGTTGTTGAGGGCTTTGTAGGTTAGAAGCAAGATTTTGAATTCAGTTCTGAATTTGACAGGGAGTCAAACACAAAGAGGCTCAACTTTGTGCCGGAGCTACTTCAGTGCGTCTGAATCTGTGCAGAGTACAATAAAACCTCCTCTGAAGAGATTCTGCTGCCCAGCGTCAGAAAGCTTGGTCTGAGTCGCAGGTCCTGGATCCTCCTACAGCCGATTGACCCAAAACACACTAAAGCTAAACATTGAACAGTTCTGTGGCCTTCTGAGCCCTGAGCTACATTCTGTTGAACATCTGTGGAAGAAGCTGAACAAACCCTTCAAACCCGAGCCAGCTGGGGCAGTTTGCTCATGAGGAGTGGACCAAAATACCTGTGGACCAAAATACCTGTGGACAGGTGCGAACGGCTCAGAGAACCACAGAGTGCTTGACTGTAGCGATTGTCTCAGAAGGATGTGGAACAAACTGAAGAGCACCGTTGTTTTTGTCAAACTCAGTCTCATGAATTTGTTTCTAAACCAGTTCTGTTGAACCACAGTTCAAAAGCAGTCGCAGATTTGTTCTTAATATTTGTGCAGAAACCGTTGTTGGGGTTTCTGTTCTTTAACAAAAAGGTACAAACACATCTGTAACTTATATAACAGGTACATTCAACAGGTTAAGTCTAGCTGTCTCCTTACCCTCATAATGAATCTAACAACCTCAAAACGTGCCTTTTCCATTAAGACAGCAAAAGTATTGTATGCATTTGAAACAACTCATTCTTAAAGGTTTTAGAAACATTTAGATTTATCACTGGTATGTTTTGTCCGGCTCCTTGCACCAACTGCACCAAACAGGTGATTTTGTTTTTGCTTCCTCACACATGAAGCTGAAAGTACAACAGTTCCCACAAAGCTTTTTCTTTTTCTATCTGTGGGAGAGTTGTTTGTCTGCACGTTGAGCCGACGTGTCATTACCAAAGAATTCAAAGCATGCCACCAAACAGCTCATCAGTGTGCACGGCGTGGACTAAATTTGGAAAAGGTGATGAAGAGGCACAATTCTGAAGTTCCTGTTGTTGCTTATATAAGAAAGGACGAAAAAATGCACCGTCTCAAGTTGACCTGCGAGTCGAGTCATCGTAAATAAGAAAGGCTTGTGTTTATCTCAGTGATATGGAAAATGGATTTGTTGCTTCAAATTCTGGGGATTTCTGAAGGTAAGAATGTGAAGCCAATAAATTCACAAAGCCCAAGCTGTGCTGAAAACTCCAACACGTGAGCCCCAACACCAGACCGGACTATTTGTTCATATAGAATAAAAAGTTATGATTCCAGATATCAGTCCAAAACTTCTCATGATTCTATTAAAACCATTTCAGTAAATTCATTTCAAAATATAATATTTTCACAACGGCTGTCTGAAGGACCGTACTTGTCGCCGTACACGTCGCACCGTCGTATGAGTCGCAGCTATTATGCGTCACCGCTGACCACGCAGAAACGTGGGCCGGCGTTGTGCCAAAAATCGATTGGCTGCCAAATGACAGCTGCGGGAGCGTGCACGGGAGGACTTAAACAAGATTTTTACAAGATTAACACTTAAAATCAATTATTTGTTTGCTTGAAAAATGCACTTTAATGGTCAAATCAGCTGCAGTTCTCCTGGGCGGTGAAATGAAGCTGATATGACGTTTGCTCCAGGAGTTCCAGAACGAGACGAAGGTGGTTTGTATGGCAAGCCAATTGTATCATTAATAGCTACTTTTACCTATTAATGAGACACTTGGCTTGCCATATTACTCAAGCGTCCTCTAGTGGCTGAAAATGTTAGTGTTCAATATTTTCCATGTCAGAATGAATGAACTCGTCAGATCTCAGCCAAAAATTGGTTATAAATATGGTAAAAAAAAAAAAACATAAATAAGTCGCTTCGCTGTATAAGTCGCAGGGCATGTTAATTTATACAAAAAGGTGCGACTTATACACCAAAAAATACGGTAATTGAGTCTTCCATGCAAGAGTTTTAGACTAACGTTGAGAAATGACAGAGCTGCCATTATTTTGGTTGCACGCTGAAAACAACATGCGTGATCTTTTCATATTGATTCATTTCTAATCTTTATGTAAACCCATTCAATGGTTCATTAGATATTTTGCTAACAGACAGAGTTGACTCCAGATGATTAATGGCAAACTTTAGACAACGATCCTCTGCAGTTTGTGAACGCTCAGATTGCGTGTTGGAGATTATCTTCAGCTAAATTTCAGCTTAATATCTATAAAAGTGACAGAGTGGCAGCCATCTTGAATTGGGTTAACTCCCAAACTTAATTAAGTTGTGTAGATGTCCATCCAACAATCAGCTGAATTAAAATTCACAAGGGTTTCAGAAGAAGAGCAGTTTTAACCAAGCTGAGAAATCTCTCCCTTCAGTGTTTTTGCTGCATTCAATATTTCTAAACAAATAAGACTCAAGTCTGGAGTTTTAATTCACAGTGTGAAAACTATTTGTTCTTTCTATTTATAGAACTGAAACAAATAATACTATGAAAAGATAACGTGTTTGTTCTTTTGTATTGATATGGTCTGAGGCTGAGCGCATCGCTGGTTGTCGGTCACGTGCACCACACAGCTGTTATCTCACAGACAGAGCAGTGTTTGTCCCGTCGTATAATGTTGAAGCTAATTCTGCAGCAGCGTCTGATAAGAAACCCACTGAGAGAGAGGACATTCCTCAGGCTCTACCAAAACATCAGCATCCAGTGCAGAGGTTACACAATCAGTCATGTCTCTTTAAAGTGTTACCTTAAGTTTCATTGAGCCCACTGCGGCCGCTGGTCCTGATTCTGCCATTAAAGCCCAGGTCAGAGGTCAGATGGACCATGATGGTGAAGCAGCTGGCCCCTGAGACTTAATGAAAACACATTTCTCAGACTATAAGGAGCACTTAAATCCTTTAATTTTCTCAAAAATTGACAGTGAAACTTATAATCAGGTGCGTCTTATGTGTTAATTCTGGTTGTGCTTACTGACCTGGAACTGATTTTATGTGGTTGTTGTGAATGAGATGAATAAAGTTTGACTTATCTGACTGTTTTGTTTCGCTAACGTGCATATGAGGCGTGACCCGGGCAATGAGCCTCAGACAACACAGCCCTCAACAACGATGAACATTTGCTCTGGAAACGTTTAAGAAGCAAATATCAAATAAATATGGTAAATGTCTATGAGGTGCCATTTGTAAAGTTACACAGTCAAAAATTAACA